TCTTGTCTATTTGGTATTGAAACAAATTCATTAAAAAATGAAAATGCTACTTTGATTAATCATTTGAGAAAATTTTTCACTATAAGTATCACTAATATATATATTCTTATAATTTGTAAGTGTATTTCAATGAAAATAAGCAATCGTATGTTTTTGATTGTTATCTTCATATTTATGAAAATAGTGATATCGCCACGATTAGCTGGTTATTTAGCAAAAAAAGGTTATTCAATGTTACCATATGATGCTGTTAATTATATAACTAATCTTGTAAATCAAATATTAGCTCGACGTCGACAGCATTTAGAAAGACGAAATGATTTCATTCAAATTATGGTTGATCATGAAGAAGAAGTAAAAGATGATGAACAAATAAATCAACAAATAGAAAAAGCAGAACAACAAAAACAACAATGGAGAACACTTAAAAAAAGTATGAATAAACAATTTTTTTCTTTGCGTTTTCATCTACTGTTAAATTTTAGCTTTGAATGATAAAGAAATATTTAGTCAAGCACTTGTCTTTTTGGTTGCTGGTTATGAAACAACAAGCGTATTAATGTCATTCTTTTTCTATGTCATGGCAACAGAACCAGTTATACAAGAAAAAGTTTATGAAGAAATTCGACAAGAACTTGGAGATGTAAATAAAAATAATATTAGAAATTAATGATGTTTAAATCGTTTTCTTAAGGATGAAGTTACTCACGAAAAACTTAGTCAACTAACCTATTTGGATATGACTATTAATGAGACACTTCGAATGTATCCACCATTCATTAGGTTAGTTTCTTTGATTTTTCTCTCCACGCATAAATATATTTGTATGATAGATTTGATCGTGTTGCTTCATATGATTACAAACTTGGTGATTATCCTATACCGAAAGGTTCTCTTATTAATATACCTATTTATCCAATTCATCATGATCCTAATCTTTGGCCTGAACCAGAAAAATTCATACCTGAAAGGTAAAATTTAAACCTATTACATCTTATTGTATGAACTAATATCGTTTGATAGATTTTCATCAACAGAGAAAGCAAAACGACATCCAATGGCATTTCTTCCTTTTGGTGATGGACCTCGGTAAGCAAAGTAATAAGTTTATTTATTAATATTAACTAAATATCCATTAAATATTATAATTAGTAATTGTATTGGAATGCGATTTGCTTTATTAGAAACTAAACTTGCAATTGCTAAAGCACTTCGTGTCGTAGAATTTCAGAAATGTGAAAAAACAGAAGTAAGTGTGAATTCTATTAATTCCATTGTTCTATCATGGGTGTGATCTCTAGGTTCCACTTCAATTGGGAAAGATGGC